TTAACCGGCGCGGCCATGGGTGTGTGGCCTAGCTTTGGCTGCACACCTATGACTGCGCTGTTGCTGGTGGACAGGCGCAGTTTTTGTTGTGCAGTAGTGTTGCAAGAGAATAAAACCAACTTATTATGTACTAAATGGAATCAAGAATATTATTGACTATATTTGATAACGATGAATTGTAAATTTCGATCAATTTATATTTTTCGGTCTCCAATTATTGAACTGCGGAAGCTGGTTGCCTCAACAATGTTGACTATGCATGGTATGACTGAATTGTAAAAACGTGATAATTGAACGAAAAATAAATGATGAACATGATTCAAAAACTGTAAACCACCAAATGAATTATCGCTTAAATTTAAATAAGTATTTAAACAAAAACCACCATGTGCCGTTAAGCAGCAGGGCGCGGCTCATCTGGGCCACAGCAAATCGGCGAAAATGGGTTCGAAAAAGCCACTATTGGCACTCGAGTCCTTGATCTTTCCGATGGTTCACTGGGGTTTTTGAGCTGCCGTCCTTCAGCTTCTGTAAACTGAAATTACTACCAATCCAAGTTGAAGCAATCAGCCGACGCGCGGCTTTTATGGTTATATATGATATGTTTAATCTGTAATAAAGATCAAAATTCAAATTTGTTTCTCTAAAATTTGTTTCTCTTATATTTATTCGGTCTCCAATTATTGAACTGCGGAAGCTGGTTGCCTCAACACTGTTGACTATGGTATGACTGAATTGTCAACCCATGATTATTAAACGAAAAATAAATGATAAACATGATTTATAATTTAAAAACTGTAAACCACCAACTGAATTATCGCTTAAGGCCAGAGGGGGGGTAAGGGGTCAAAAAAATCGACCAAAATATTATTTTCTAAATCAATTTAATTTTCGATGACAAAAACATTGCTGCTATTCACATATTTGTAGCTGCTTAACTTTTTTTTATAATTGAGGTTAACCGATTTTCACAAAATTGATTATACAACATTGAGGTTAATAAAATTGAGGTTAATATTTTATTACACTCCATAATTTTTTGTTTTTTCGGTCAGCAAATGTAAACTCTAAATTTTAGGTTCATAATTATCAGAAAAAGTAATATCCAAACGTGATTAAATGAGGTTAACCTCTTAATTTAGGTATATCGAAAATGGATTAGGTGATAGAGTTGTTATTTTTATCGTAAGATTACGACATACAAAATTCTTAATAGATGTAGTGCTGATTTACTTCATTTTATCTTGAGAAAGTGTTGAAAATGAGGTTAACCATATCATTTGGTAGTTTAAGAATTATTTACACAAGATTCTTACTTTTGTTATATACCACAATATCTCAGTGATGTATCTATTTGTATTCCAATGCCTCAAATATGATCATGAGACAAAGGTGATTAGGACTGACCATATATAAGTAGAAGAGTTCACCCATAAATAGCTAAAAAATGAGGTTAACCTCTCATTTGTTGAATATCGGCCCAGTTAATCACATGTTAACCTCAAAATCTTAATTGTTACACTGGGCAAATGTTTCATTACATGTCTAACAATATATTGATAAACCAATTCCATTGTTATATGGTCTATAGTGAGGTTAACAATCATATTTTTACTACTACTACAAAATATCGTGATAGTTAACCTCATTTTTAGACAAATTTTGGTTTATGATATTGATTTTCCCAACATAAAGTATCTCAATAAACATCTTCTCACCTTAAAGCAAAAATTGTATGGAGACGCTACTAAATACGGAAAATAATGCACAATTTGAGATTTTGGCAGTGAAATAAAAACACCAAAACTCTTTTTACTCAAAACAGGTTTTTTCATACAAACGTCCCTTAGTTGAGAATACTGGCCACACCCAGAAGCTGAAACTTGGCACAGGTGTTTCTTGGGTTGTCACCCACAATTCTATTGTACAAAATTTTGATATTTGCCTCTGTTCTTGAGTTATGAGGTTAACTGTCGAAAAACTGTTGAATTTGGGGTAAAGTTAACCTCATATCTCAAGAACAGAAGCAAATATCAAAATTTTGTACAATAGAATTGTGTAAAACAGTCTAAGGAACACCTGTGCCAAGTTTCAGCTCCTGGGTGTGGCCAGTCTTCTGAACTTAGGGCGTTTTAACTTTTTACAGTTTAAGTTAAAGTTTTACATGTAATTACATGTAAACCTCAATATTTGGCGTGCGATATCTTAAAAACGCAAGGTCAGATTTCGGTCCTGTTTTTTTCCTCTTGTTCGTCTCCAGCAGCTCTAATCAAATATGTGAAAACTGGAAAATCGACTTTCACCCCCCCCCTCTGGCCTTAAATTTAAATAAGTATCAAAACAAAAACCATCATGTGCCGTTAAGCAGCAGGGCGCGGCTCATCTGGACCACAGCAAATCGGCGAAAATGGGTTCGGAAAAGCCACTATTGGCACTCGAGTCCTTGATCTTTCCGATGGTTCACTGGGCCTTTTGAGCTGCCGACCTTCAGCTTCTGTCAACTGAAATTACTACTAATCCAAGTTGAGGCAATCAGCCGACGCGCGGCTTTTATGGGGGGTGTCACGTCCGTCTATGTCCGCTTGTCTCATAGAACCCAAAAAGGACAGGACATAGGCGGACATAGGCGGACATAGGCGGACATAGACGGACATAGGCGGACATAGGCGGACATAGGCGGACATAGGCGGACATAGACGGACATCGGCGGACATTAATGGACACCTAAATTGCTAAATAAAATGTTCAATTTTTGCTGTTATAGGGGGATCATGTTTTTTGTCCGTTCGGTACCCTATATTTTCAAAACGGACAAAAAATAGAGCGGACAAAAACGGACAAAAATGGACAAAAACGGACAAAAATGGAAATAACATTTAGATGCTTCCTCCTCCTACTCTTCCTCCTCCTCCCCCTGGGTCTTCCTGATCTTCCTGAGTCCTCTTCCTCCTCCCCTCAGTCCTCCTCCTACTCCTCCTCCTCGTCCTCAGTCCTCCTCATTAGTCCTCAACAGTCCTTCTCCTCCCCAGTCCTCCTCCTCCTCCTGAGTCCTCATCCTGGGTCCTCCTCCTGGGTCCTCCTCCTCCTCTTCATCCTCCTCCTCTTCCTCCTCAGTCCTCCTCCTCATCCTTCTCCTCAGTCCTCCATCCTCCTCCTCAGTCCTCCCCCAGTCCCCCTCCTCCTCCTATTCAGTCCTCCTCCTCCTCCTCCTCCTATTCAGTCCTCCTCCTCCTCCTCCTTCTCAGTCCTCCTCAGTCCTCCTCCTCCTCCTGAGTCCTCCTCCTCCTCCTCCTCTTCCCTCTCAGTCATCCTCCTCAGCCATTCTCCTCAGTCCTCCTGGGTCCTCCTCCTCCTGGGTCCTCCTCCTCTTCATCCTCCTCCTCTTCCTCCTCGGTCCTCAGTCCTCCTCATCCTGGGTCCTCCTCCTCATCCTTCTCATCAGTCCTCCTCCTCCCCAGTCCTCTCCCAGTCCCCCTCCTTCTCCTCCTCCTATTCAGTCCTCCTCCTCCTCCTCCTCAGTTCTCCTCAGTCCTCCTTCTCATTTCTCTTAAGTCCTCCTCCTGAGTCCTCCTCCTGAGTCCTCCTCTTCCTTCTGAGTCCTCCTCCTGAGTCCTCCTCCTCCTCCCTCTCAGTCATCCTCCTCAGTCATCCTCCTCAGCCATCCTCCCCAGCCATCCTCCTCAGCCATCCTCCTCAGTACTCCTCAGTCCTCCTCCTTCTCAGTCATCGTCAGTCCTCCTCCTCAGTCCTCCTCAGTCCTCCTCCTCCTCCTCCTGGGTCCTCCTCCTCCTCCTCCTCCTGGGTCCTCCTGGGTCTTCCTGATCCTCCCCAGTCCTCTTCCTCCTCCCCTCCTCAGTCCTCCTCCTACTCCTCCTCCTCGTCCTCAGTCCTCCTCATCAGTCCTCAACAGTTCTCCTCCTCCCCAGTCCTCCTCCTCCTCCTGGGGCCTTTTCCTGGGTCCTCCTCCTGGGTCCTCCTCCTCCTGGGTCCTCCTCCTCCTGGGTCCTCCTTCTCCTCCTCAGTCCTTCTCCTCCTCCTCCTCAGTCCTCTTCCTCCTCTTCCTCCTCATCCCTCTCAGTCATTCTCCTCAGCCATCCTCCTCAGCCATCCTCCTCAGTCCTCCTCCTTCTCAGTCCTCCTGAGTCCTCCTCCTCCTCAGTCATCCTCCTCAGTTCTCCTCCTCCTCCTCCTAGGTCCTCCTTCTGGGTCCTCCTCCTCCTGGGTCTTCCTGATCATTCTCCTCCCTCTCAGTCATCCTCCTCAGTCATCATCCTCAGTCATCCTCCTCAGTCATCCTCCTCAGCCATCCTTCTCAGCCATCCTCCTCAGTACTCTTCAGTACTCTTCAGTACTCTTCAGTCTTCAAAATGTTTGTCTGCTAATGTCCACCAATGTCCGCTAATGTCCACCAATGTCCATCCAAGTCCGCCAATGTCAGTCCGGGTCCGCCAATGTCCGTCCGAGTCTGCCAATGTTCGTCCGTGTCCGCCAATGTCCCAAAAAACACGTCCGTTGTCTCATAGAATCCAAAAAGGACAGGACATAGGTGGACATAGACGGAAATGACACACCCCCCCCCCCCCCCCCCCCCCCTTTATGGTTATATATGATATGTTTAATCTGTAATAAAGATCAAAATTCAAATTTGTATTCCTTAAAAATTTGTATTCCTTATGATTTGCCATTAAGTGGGACAATATATATATACTGGAAAACTATGGAGGCCTCAAATGAGGTTTTTTTACTATCAGTAATTTAACAAACTTTATGAGATAAGAGATTCAGAGATAAGGATTGAGACCATTTTTATAGGCACAAATTACCACATTTAAGGTATTAACAATATTTTCATAATTATTGTGTATACGATCTATTTTTTGATAATAATTTAACAGTTTACTAAAATACTAGGGCTGGACTACAAGGTTTCCAATCTAAATTTATTTTGGCTTTTTTAATATAACTTTTCGCTGTATTCCGATCAACATAAAAAAACATCTGTTCAGAATAGAGCAAGGTACAATGTCCACTGAACACCTACAAGGGGGAAGAGTTCGAGGAATATCCATTGTGAAAGCTGTGGTTACAGGGAACACCAGCACTTATCTTGGTGGTAAACGTGAGACAGACGGTCACACCCACACATGGTCTGTCTACCTCAAGCCTTTCAAAAGTGAGGATATGAGCATCTACGTCAAGAAAGTCCACTTCAAGCTTCATGACAGCTATTCCCAACCTATGAGGATATTATCTAAACCACCTTACAGCGTGAGCGAATCAGGCTGGGGCGAGTTTGAGATCATGGTCAAAATATTCTTTCATGACCCTGTTGAGAAGCCTGTTACTTTTTATCATCTTTTGAAACTCTTCCCCAATGAGACAGTGACTGTCAAAGACAAGACTCTTATATCAGAACAGTATGATGAGATTATTTTCACAGATCCTACATCAATCATGTATCCATTATTAGTCAACGCCCGCCCCATGGACCCCAATCTGTCGCAGCATCATAGAAACTTTGATGAATTAGAACGGAAAACTTTCACGTCTATCATTGAAGCAAGGCGTAAGATAAAAACTGAGATAGCAGAGTTGAGCAGTAGACTGAAAAACCAGCGGGAATACCATCATGCATTGAAACAGGAAGTGAAAGAGCTAGAGGATGAAAATAAAACCTGATTAAGTTAAAATACAGGTTGACTGAATTATTTTTGTAGCTGTTGGTAAAGAGCTTGCTCATTTTCAGAATATTTCGAATAAAATTTGGCAAAATTTGACCTCCCTGACAGGCATTATTATACTGACTGTGAATTATGTTATAGTTATTTAATGATATTTCAATATTGTTTAAAAAGATAACGTTTTGCTGTTTATTTATTATGATGTCAGAGGTATTCTGTGATGATAAGCAGAATAATGAAATCCCAGAACTCATTGTAATTTTAGCCGGGTTTAGTCAGACCAAACTGATTACATAACATGTAAACTGTAAAGTTGTGTCTCATTTGTTAAGGAAAAGCACTGATAAGATATTAAGAAAAATTATTTAAGATTAATTTTTATCAGAGGTTCAATTGTGTATGATATCAGTATCTCCTGAATATTTTAACAGGGTATGGATCAACCTGTCAGTGGAAATTATCAACTACTATAAATTCAATTCGTTCCTGCAGGATTAATTCTTGCTTCCGCTGGAATTAAGCTGCGATAATTATCATAACCTGGTAATGTAGGACTATTATTAAATAATCTTGGACTTGTTTTGCAGGAATATTTATTTAAAGAAAATAATTCGAACTTGTTTTACCGGTTGATCGAATAATCTCTATATTATCTTATCGCCTGATTCTGCTTCTTTTATTTTTGCATCCAGGTTTTACCTTCGAAACAAATTGTTTTATCATATATATTATGATATATTGACTACAATTGGACCTACAACATATGCATCTCCTTTTCACACAAAATGTTCGGTTATATTCATTGTAACGATAAGAACAGTAGGTTCATAATTACATACGCTTGATTAAGTTATATTAGGATAATGTAATTATCTTGAGCTCCTTTTTCAGGAATGGTTGAGCTCCTTTTTCAGGAATGGTTATTTAAAGAACTAAGTCTAAACTGCACTGTTTTTAGAGCAACCGAAAACATATTCGGTGCGATTACAAAACTAATCACAATGATTTTCTGAAAGATACTGTAGTAAAACAAAGTATTTTAGTAAAACAAAGTATTTTATTTATTAGCAGTGCAATCAATTCATATGATATAATTATAAGAATATAATAGTATGTCACACCTATTTAACTGTTACGTTTGAGTAGTTGTGCCATGGCTAAATCTAACTAGGACCAGTGGTGTCGATTAACATTTAATAGGTGAGTCTAAGTGACACAAATGGAAAATTTTAAGAAAAGACGGATCAAAACACAGATCCAAGGACAAGGAGACCCCACTGCAGGACCATACATGCTATTGGCTTGTGCATGGCCCAAAAAGGTTCCAGTTGTCCAGGAAACTGTACGTAGCTGGTCAACTAGTTTTGAATTCAGACTAGGCTTGATGAGTTCTGGGGTTTCTAGAGGTAAGATTTGATGGTGCCAGGTTTGTTCAGGCGGACATGGAAATTATGCGATGAATATATAGGTATATAAAAATCATATCAATATAAAAATAGATCCAAAAATAGATCCAAAGATTCACACGGCAGTCAGGGAACTTCCAGACAGGATGCTTTTGAAACAGGTATAATTAGCGCTTTTGTAATTAATTGTATGCAAGGGATGGGATGCTGATCAACTAAGCTGGTTCAATGCCCCAGCTATTTAGGGGGAGCCACTCAATTTCACGCCCAGGTGTTGTCAATTGCTGGGTTTCCAGTAACAGCTTTTTGATACGGCTCTTGATAATTGAGATGGGGGAGGAAAGGTCGGAAAATTTACTAGAGCCAGGGACCATGACATTGTTTTCATTAGGAGTGCATTTGTCGAATATTTTATCAATCAAACTGTTCATGTTCCATATAGTCGTACCTTTGACGACAAAATTGTGTTTAGAAATGTCAAGTTTGTGTCGGGGGACCCGCATAGTTTGGCTACATGTTCTGGAACTTGTTTGGAATAAACTTGTCAGAGAGATGGGTTGATGCAGTTTCAAGATTTTAAACAGTTCAGTGGATATATATGTTGGATGTACAGGTTGTGGATTGACATGATTTTCTCGGTATTGAATATTGGCTTAGTGTTTTCCAAAGCAAAGCTCCTTTTTGCGATGTGTTCACTGTATGGTCTTACACGTGCACATGTTTCATAGTACTCTGCCCGGTCAAAGCTTGGTTTGCTTCCAAATAGAAGGCGTACGCATCTTTTTTGGATGGAGAACAGTTTAGATAGTCTATGAGGTGTGACACCACCCCAGCTACTGATACAGTAGCTCATATGAGACTTGAATAAGGAGTCATACAGTTTATGGTACTCTGTTTCTGGAATAAACTTCATAATACGTTTAATTATAGCTATACTTGTAGTTAGTTTACTTTTTATGTTATCTAGTTGGGGTTCCCAGGATAGTTCATGGTCTATGATAACACCAATCTCACTTTATCTACTCGTGTAAGTGTGGTGCCTGATAACGTGAGTGAGTGATATATCTGCCTAGAATACTTGGTCATATTTCTCACGGTGTTGGGAGCTTATCTTATATATATTTATAATATACCCTTATCAGTAATCCTTAAATAAGTATCAATGATATACGGTAAATAATGAGCGAAACTAGGGCGGATGCACGTCACGTGCGCTGCCAAAGTATTCACTGCACTGAGACCCGCCGCTATCTCTTACTCTTGTAATACGGGCCCCATTTGGAAGTTGATCGTTTGTTTTTAAGAGCATTTTTCCTTGTCGCATCAAACGGGATCAATACAATTTAACACAAGAATACATTGCAACCATGCGACTCATAAACAATACTACAATCCGGATTATACAGTTAGGTTAGCGTATAAAATCTTATTTTTACTTTATTTCTCGCCTGATTTTGCTTCTTTACTGTTTGCATCCAGCTTGATATAACCTACAAACAAATGTCCGGTTATACTAACCCCCCACTGATACTACTACTATGTCGGAACTAACTCCCCACTGATAGGAATGGGAAAGGTGACAGGAAATACACCTCTGTGTGATGCGGATCCTGAGCTATATGGTCTGATAAAACAGGAGAAGAGCCGTCAGCGGTCATGTTTGGAGCTCATTGCTAGTGAAAACTTCACTTCTAAAGCTGTGATGGATGCTGTGAGTGGACATTGCAATTGTTCTGGTTTTCCTGTACACTTTTGAAACATCTTGTCTGACATGATTCTCGAATATTTACCCTTCTGTTTCTCGTTATCTTGTGCTTTTCAGGCGGGCTCATGTCTGACGAACAAGTACAGCGAGGGACTACCAGGAGCACGGTACTACGGTGGAAATGAGTACATCGACCAAATAGAGAGACTCTGTATAAAGCGAGCACTGGAGGCGTTCTCCCTAGATGAGAGGGAGTGGGGAGCTAATGTACAACCCTACAGTGGCTCTCCTGCTAATTTTGCTGTGTACACTGGTAAATAGAGCTATTTTACATACTTCATTATCAATATCGTTATTGTATTTTATTTTCAACGTTTATTTTTGTAGGGGTATAGAGCTACAACATTCTGCACCTAAGACAATATTGAAACGATTGTCTACAGACTAGTTTTTGAATTTTGTAATTTCGATATTCAGAAGTATTATTTAAGTTATGGCCCGTTGAAAAATATTGATTTCATCATAAAAATTGTATGATAAAATTTTTAACGCCAATAATTCTGACTGTACTGGTCATGGTCCCTGCTGTATAAGGGTCGTATTATATTTTGTATGATTTGTAAGAACCGAATTTATCAGACCTATCTAAGTATCTACAGTCTAACGACCATTAAATTGCAGCCCTATTGAAGCCTCACGAGAGAGTGATGGGTCTGGACCTTCCAGACGGCGGTCACCTGACTCACGGGTACATGACCGACAAGAAGAGAATCTCTGCTACTAGCATCTACTTTGAGAGTATGCCTTATAGCGTGAACAGAGATACTGGCATCATAGACTATGATAAACTAGAGGACCAGGTTAGTCCCCCCTCATAGACTATGATAAACTAGAGAACCAGGTTAGTCCCCCCCCCTCATAGACTATGATAAACTAGAGGACCAGGTTAGTCCCCCCCCCCTCATAGACTATGATAAACTAGAGAACCAGGTTAGTCCCCCCCCCCCCCCCTCATAGACTATGATAAACTAGAGGACCAGGTTAGTCCCCCCTCATAGACTATGATAAACTAGAGAACCAGGTTAGTCTCCCCCCCCCCTCATAGACTATGATAAACTAGAGGACCAGGTTAGTCCCCCCCCCCCCTCATAGACTATGATAAACTAGAGAACCAGGTTAGTCCCCCCCCCCCCCTCATAGACTATGATAAACTAGAGGACCAAATTAGTCCCCCCCCCCCGCCCGGGCACCCACGGCCCCTCCCAGTCATAGTCTCTTCTTTCTCGTCGCATGCTGTACAATCAGTGAGATGAACACGCAATTATTTCTGTTATTTTATTGAATGTTACCAGTGTCTAGTACAGTATTATACAGTTAGTATTAACTTATTAAAGTATTAAGTGTATTTGTTGTCAGGTGAGTTACTTCAGACCCCGCATGCTAATAGCTGGAGCCAGTGCTTACTCCAGAGAGATTGACTACAAGCGAATGAGGCAGATAGCTGACTCTACTGGAGCCTGGCTGGTCGCTGATATGGCTCATATCGGAGGTAGGACACACCCTAACATAGCAGCCTAGCTAAATATCTATTGCATATGTTGTTTACTGTAAACATAGCAATTACTGAAATGATAGTTCGATAGAGTGTCATATAGATCGACCACTTGCACTCAACTGTATTAATAAATGTTTCTCTTTATAAACATAAACCTTCATCTCCTCCCAGGTCTAATATCGGACTTCACGTGGTGTGACGTCATAACACGTGGTGTGACGTCATAACACGTGGTGTCACGTCATAACACGTGGTGTCACGTCATAACAAGTGGTATGTTTCTCTTTATAAACCTAAACCTTCATCTCCTCCCAGGTCTAATATCGGCTGGAGTGATAGGATCTCCGTTCCCTTACTGTGATGTAGTAACCACCACCACGCACAAAACACTGCGCGGCTCAAGGTCTGGTATCATATTCTTCAGACGTGGTCTCAGAGAAGTTCCTGGCAAGGAGCCAGTCCCCTACAAGATTGAGAACGATCTTAATTTCGCTGTATTCCCTGCGCTTCAGGTGATCTTAATTTCGCTGTATTCCCTGCGCTTCAGGTTTCTTTTACTAGATTTTATACCCATAACGAACAGTGCAGTAATTTGCAAATTTGCGACACATTATTCGACCCACATTTATATTGTTATATTTGCTATATTTGTTATTGCTATTTCGTTTTTAGTTTCGATCACTAAATAAGAAAATTCCCCAAACAACAGAGTTAAATTTTAAAACAACGAAATTTGCTCAGGGAGGACCCCACAACCACATCATTGCAGCGGTGGCAACAGCTCTTAAAGAAGCTAATACTGACGAGTTCAGGGAATACCAGAGACAGGTAATCACTGCAGATACTGTGTCATTACCCTTAATACCAGAGACAGGTAATCACTGCATGGCAGGTACTGTGTCATTACCCTCAATACCAGAGACAGGTAATGACTGCAGGTACTGTGTCATTACCCTCTATACCAGAGACAGGTAATCACTGCAGGTACTGTGTCATTACCCTCAATACCAGAGACAGGTAATCAATGCAGGTACTGTGTCATTACCCTCAATACCAGAGACAGGTAATCACTGCAGGTACTGTGTCATTACCCTCAATACCAGAAACAGGTAATCACTGCATATACTGTGTCATTACCCTCAATACCAGAGACAGGTAATCACTGCAGGTACTGTGGATACAAGCATAGGGTGCAGATTTTTATAATTCAAAATGGATATTCACAAAGTTTTCAACTGAAGATAACACTTATTCAGGTTGTAGCGAACTCCAAGGCTCTGTGTGTATTTCTACAAAACAAAGGCTACAAGGTGGTGTCTGACGGTACAGATAACCACATAGTTCTAGTTGATCTCCGTCCCAGCGGTATAGACGGTAACAGAGTCGATCAAACACTGGACACTTGCAGTATCACTGCTAATAAGAACACTGTTCCTGGGGATAAGAACGCATTTAGGTAATGCTTGTCTTATTTGTCCCTTTATTTGTCGTCCCTTTACTTGTCGTCCCTTTACTTGTCGTCCCTTTACTTGTCGTCCCTTTATTTGTCGTCCCTTTATTTGTCGTCCCTTTATTTGTCGTCCCTTTATTTGTCGTTCCTTTACTTGTCTTCTAAAACTATTTTACGATTCTATAGTCATGTTTCCCCCTAAAGCTACTGAATCTAAAGATATATCTAATTTCAGACCGGGTGGAGTAAGATTAGGAACTTCAGCTCTCACTACTCGCCAGTTTAAGGAGAGTGAATTTGAAATTGTAGCTCAACTCATTCATGAAGGTAATTTAGGAATGATAAGTCCTGTGTCAATCACCACCCCCCCCCCCCCCCCCCCCCCCCCCAACCATGAAGCAGATTCAAATAAAGACTTTATAAGGGCCTGAAGCTTGATTTTGGGAGTTTTTCAGAAATAAGATTGATTTGTTCCGTTGACAATATTACATATTATGTATTATTATTTCTTAGGTATCGAAATAGCAAAATGTGTCCAAGATAAGCAGGAGACTAAATTGTTAAAGGAGTTCAAGGAGATCCTTCTTAACGACAAAGATATTCTGGAGAAAACTGAAGCTCTAAAAAAGAAAGTTGTTAACTTTGCCTCTTCCTTCCCCATGCCCGGACATGACGACATATAAGACGGTTTTTTTGCATGTTTTTTGTGCAAAGTTCTGAAAATTTTCTAATCTTTTATAGTAATTTATGTTAAATGAGTGTATAATTCTCAATTTATAATCTACATATAAACTTAATAACTTTAAATGTTACTTTTAATAACAAACTTTATTTCTTATTTATCTCTCTAGCTTATTAGTCGGTGGTTATGTTAAAAAGTTTTAAATGTTCATGTATTATTTCCATTAAACCTCATAGAATGTGAACACTAGAAATTAACATCTTATCAAACATAAATACATTAATCATACTGTCATCCTGCTGCATCAATATTAGTTTATCATTTGGGCATAGCTTTCTTCTCTTTTAGGGCATGAACCGAGACTGCCCATTTTCATGACAATAAACGACAAAGTATGACAAACTATGAAAATATACGACAAGATTTGACAATAAATTATAAACGTTCTCTTTGGAGAGTACATTCCACAACTTCTGTTCTGATTTGGTAGATATTTGGGGCAATTTCATAGTTCTGTATGATTAATTAAGTGTAGCATATTAATTGTATTTTATATGTCTAGTTCCTATGACAATGTAATTTATTATTTGTGATAAAATATTTAAAATTTCTACTATTAAATCATTAAGAAAAGTCTATTACTGCTCTCAAGTAAGATAAAAACACAAAATCTAAATTTCTCTGATTCTCAACACTTACACAAACTCTAAATTTGAAAACAAGGTTTGTTAATAACCAGTAACCATGGTAACAGTTAGTTAATAACCAGTAACCATGGTAACAGTTAGTTAATAACCAGTAACCATGGTAACAGTTAGTTAATAACCAGTAACCATGATAACAGTTAGTTAATAACCAGTAACCATGGTAACAGTTAGTTAATAACCAGTAACCATGGTAACAGTTGGTTAATAACCAGTAACCATGGTAACACTTAGTTAATAACGCACTCCACCCCCAGTTGATGGTATCATAGAAGAAGGGTCACATTCTTATTTGTCAACAGTTTCACTATGGATAGTTCCTCATTAAAAATGGTGTTGGTATCAATACTATGGGGCAGCACAAACCCTCTCATCAAGAAATTCAGTTCCGGAATAGAAACTTGCCAGTCAAACGTAGATAAGATCCTGTTTCTACTCTACAAGCCGCTCTACCTGATATCTCTACTTAGTAATCAACTGGGTTCAGTGTTATTCTACCTGCTGCTGGGCTCTACAGACCTGGGAATAGCAGTACCAGTGGTTAACAGTCTCACTCTCTTGTTTACTGCTATTGTAGGGGCGGTACTAGGGGAGGGCAGATTGGGATGGAAAGGTGCTGCTGGAACATTGTTAATTATACTGGGGACTGGACTTTGCAACTTAGAGAGAGGGTAGAATATCTGAGCGGGTTTCTTCCCCCGGTTTATTCAAAGTCAGGATTCCTTCAAAACAATTCAAGTTTTATCAAGTGACACTTTATATTAACAATCAGAATATTCTAGTTCAATGTAAATGATGACGCAAATTATGATGATATCTCTGGTTTGCGAGGGAAGTTGTATTACCGATGGATGTTTTACTGTACTTAATTGCCGCGCATTTCTTCGTGCGGTTGCGCTGAGCGCGGGCAACATTTTGAGGTCACCTGTGCGCAAAAGTCACGTGACTAAATTTATATGAATAAATTATTGTTAATTTTAATGTTAGACCTACTAACCTAACATATATTGTCCTTGGCAAGGTAAACTAATTAATTACTGTTTACAGAATGGCTGCAAGTCAGATAGTTAGAAATTGCAGAAAATTGTTGCAGAACTGCACGGCAGTGTCCATCAAGGTTCCATGGGGACAAATCAAAGGATTCGAGGTTAGTTTACTTCACCTCGTTTGTCAAATGTGTGTAATATTATATTGGTCCAAACAATGAAGTATATTTTCTACAATGTGAGCTCACACAACCCACAGGTAGGTCCAAGAGACGCTCCCCCAGTCCTCCTGTTCCACGGCTGGCTCGACAACTGCCACTCTTTTCTTCCTCTGTTAACTAAACTACCTAAAAATCGGAGGTATATCGCTCTAGATCTTCCAGGACATGGACATTCTACTCACAAACCTAACGGATATTACAACTTTATTCTAAGTGAGCTAAACTTACTTTTTTCTTATTAAAAACTAGACAAACCTGAACTTTAGAATCGCCAAAATTCTTGTAAAATAAAGGTTAGAATGTTAATTAGATTTTGTGTAATTCAGATGGGGTAGCAGATTTAGAGCACATTCGGAGAAGTTTGGAGTTGGAGAAGTTTACCATTATAGGACACAGTATGTCCGGTATAATATCAATACTATACTCTGCTACTTACTCCGATCACATTGATAAAACTGTTGTTCTGGACAGTTTGTTTCCGTACGTCAAAGAACCCTCTGAGGTAATGGTTTTACACTTCTTTGTTGGAACCACGAACCTCTGACCTCTGTGTTGACTGTTAGAGTTCCACACATTGCTACTTTAAGTACTGGGTTAATTTCAGGTGGTGAAGAATTTGCGGAAGGCTTCGGACGACCACGTTAACGACGGTTTCAGAAGTAAAGTTTATAAAGACGAGTCCATCTTAGCTGAAATAAAGTCCCAGAGCACCTGGTTAGTGACTCTTGTGTACTGGGAACTTAGTCCCAGAGCGCCTGGTTAGTGACTCTTGTGTACTGGGAACTTAGTCCCAGAGCGCCTGGTTAGTGACTCTTGTGTACCGGGAACTTAGTCCCAGAGCACCTGGTTAGTGACTCCTGTGTAAAAACTGGGAACTTAGTCCCAGAGCACCTGGTTAGTGACTCTTGTGTACTGGGAACTTAGTCCCAGAGCACCTGGTTAGTGACTCTTGTGTACTGGGAACTTATTCCCAGAGCACCTGGTTAGTGACTCTTGTGTACTGGGAACTTAGTCCCAGAGCACCTGGTTAGTGAATCTTGTGTACTGGGAACTTAGTCCCAGAGCACCTGGTTAGTGAATCTTGTGTACTGGGAACTTAGTTCCAGAGCACCTGGTTAGTGACTCTTGTGTACTGGGAACTTAGTCCCAGAGCACCTGGTTAGTGACTCTTGTGTACTGGGAACTTAGTCCCAGAGCACCTGGTTAGTGACTCTTGTGTACTGGGAACTTAGTCCCAGAGCACCTGGTTAGTGACTCTTGTGTACTGGGAACTTAGTCCCAGAGCACCTGGTTAGTGACTCTTGTGTACTGGGAACTTAGTCCCAGAGCACCTGGTTAGTGACTCTTGTGTACCGGGAACTTAGTCCCAGAGCACTTGGTTAATGACTCTTGTGTACTGGGAACTTAGTCCCAGAGCACCTGGTTAGTGACTCTTGTGTTCTGGGAACTTAGTCCCAGAGCACTTGGTTAGTGACTCTTGTGTACTGGGAACTTAGTCCCAGAGCACCTGGTTAGTGACTCTTGTGTACTGGGAACTTAGTCCCAGAGCACCTGGTTAGTGACTCTTGTGTACTGGGAACTTAGTCCCAGAGCACCTGGTTAGTGACTCTTGTGTACTGGGAACTTAGTCCCAGAGCACCTGGTTAGTGACTCTTGTGTAAAAACTGGGAACTTAATTTTACCTACTTTGATTAATAACAATTTTAATCTTATTGATTTTCTAATACACAATTTTAAAACACACAAACACGCAGCATTAAGTTACAACAGAACCACACACCAAATGAATTAGTTTTTAACAATATAAAACAATATAGCTTTCATGGTCGGGTGGTCGGGTATAGACTGTACTGTTTTTAAAAGAATCTTTTGTCTGACCAGATTTACACCTCGCTATCTGTCAGGTATTTGGGCCTAGATGTTGAACTGTGCAAGCTGATGGTGGAACGTAATACTGTACCGTGTCAGGGTGGTATTAAACAGTTATATGATCCTAAACTCAGATACAACAGGTATTTTAGATTAATGTTTCCACTGCCCAACTCTGACACCGATACTGATTACTGATATGTGCCGAAATCCACCTTTGAGCTTTGTCTTGTAATTGAAGTAATACCCGCCTTATCGTCAGTCTATTGTTGAGCATTAAACTAACAGAACCTTCTCCTCAGTATAATGTACCTGACAAAGGACCATTACTCTGAGTTCATAAAATCGTTAGAGAAACCAGTGTTGTACCTTGAAGGAGATAAGGGTGTGAACAGTATACTACCAGTAATTAAAGGTTAGTTATGTGGCCAGTTGCAGTATATTAAAATATTATACATTATGGTAACTACCGATAAGAATTTCACAGTGTATTAAGATAAACACGTCCATCATTTCCAAGATATAATTTAGTTTAACTGGTTTTGATTCCAGGATTAATTGGAGCAGTGAAGAGTATGAACAGTTTGGTTGAACACGAGGTTATAGAGGGACCCCACCATTTCCACATGTCAAATCCGGACTCAACCGCCCTGACTATTGAAACATTCCTGAACAATTCCGTTATAGCAGCTAGATTATAGTAGTTAACATGGTTACACTAATAATTACCATGGTTACTGCACTAGTTACCATAGTAACCGCCCTGTTTATTGATTATAGTCCTTACTTCTTTGATGATTGCTATTCAGATTCATTATGTTTTGATTTTGATTTTGCAATTTAAAGTTTTTACCAAGTGACCGGTAAAAATTTATAATTTGCTGTAGATATTTTGTTACATTCTTTTCATGAAAGTTAACTGTAAAAAAGTGTTTTTATTTATTGCTTTTACATCACAGTTGATAACAAGTAAATATGACAAAGACTTTATAGTAGACATGGTAATACACAGCATGGTGCCATACTAATTCGCATGAAACTTCATGTGTATATTTCAACGAAAAGATAATATTCAACTAGCAATAAATTTATTTCTGAGTATCGAAATTAATAGATTTAAAACCTGTGCTAGCAGTGTGAGATAATGGGAAGTACTACTCAACTGTTAAAGAACTGTCACTCTCTGCTGAGGACTGCAGATAGACTCCATGTCAAGGTTCCGTGGGGATATGTCAGGGGCATACAGGTCATTATTCTCTACATGTACTGTGTCTGGGACTAGTTGTGATTTTAATTTCGGAATCTCAGAACATGTGACTTCATCCTGCTTTGAAATCTTATTTTTAACTAGGTCCAATATTAATCTAGGGGTCAGCTGGTCCAGTGTTCAGTGTATTACAGTAAATAGTAGTCGTACTGCAGTAATACAGTATACTGAAATAACCATCTCCAGGTTGGACCACGAGATGCTCCCCCAGTACTGATGGTACATGGCTGGCTGGATAACTGCTACTCTTTTGTTCCTCTGTTAACAAAGCTTCCTAAAAACAGGAGATATATTGCTATAGATCTGCCTGGACACGGCTACTCGTCTCACAAACCTAAATCAGCGTACACTCACACCATAGGTACATTATAGGTACTTTATAGGTACATTATAGGTACTTTATATGTATTATATGTGAACAATCAAAACACCGATTTACCGCAAACCCCGATTTACCGCGGCTTTTTCCTTTCTCCCAAACTCCGTGGTAAATCGGGTTTATTCTTTAATATAACAATAAATTAAACGGCTCAGTGGCTCAGTTGGTTAATCCGCCTGGTATTGCTTGAGGTACCAGGTTCGATTCCCGACTCTGTCACTAGCCGTGGGGTGAGCGTCGTTGACGCTCAGCTAAGGATCCTGAGTGGTCTATGCAGCACCCCGGTCCACTCAGCCAAATACTCGAGAAATCGGGTGTGAGGGTTAAATGAGGAGCTGCCCATTGCAGCAAAGTCTCGGGCGAAGAAAGTATGGTACACACTACCTTAACCGTCACTGGCCTAATGTATAATTGAATCCTTCGGCTTCCTGTAATTGGCTGGTTACACACTTGTGTAACAATGTGGCTGTTGGAATGTCCGAAGTAAAATAAGTGTTGAGATAAAAAAAAATTGGACTCACTGAATTTGTAATTGTAACACTATCGTTACCATTGTAACACTATTGTAACCATTGTAAACTATTGTAATCATGGTAACACTCTCGCAGATTATATAGTTGATTTGGAGCATGTTCGGAGAGGGCTGAAGCTGGAACAATTCTCACTGATTGGTCACAGTTTAGGCGGCATGATCTCAGGTTAGATTAGAGTGCCTTTCATACAATATACATTATACATTCTACCAACTAGCTAACTTTAGATTAGAGTTTGCTTTACATACAATATACATTCTACCAACAAGCTAACTTTAGATTAGAGTTTGGCTTACATACAATATACATTCTACCAACACGCTAACTTTAGATTAGAGTTTGCCTTACATACAATATACATTCTACCAACAAGCTAACTTTAGATTAGAGTTTGCCTTACATACAATATACATTCTACCAACAAGCTAACTTTCGTGGATATTTGCAAAATTTGAGAGGATACAAATATAACATCCCACAAGGTATTTACACAGCGACGTACCCTGATAAAATAGACAAGTTTGTAGCAATAGACGGTCTCCTCCCCTTCCACCAGCCTAATGACCAAGTGGTGGAGAATCTGAGGAAAGCTACAGATATGCTAGTGGACGACACTTTCAACCACAAGATCTACAAAGATTTAGAAGTACTGTCAGAGAAGATCACACGGACAGTGTTCTATAAGGGTATGGACCCGGAGGTGGCTCAGTTCATGTTGGATAGGAGTATTCAGATGCTGCCGGAGGGGCACCAGTTCACTTACGATAAACGGCTCCGGTACCCCGCGTAAGTTCTGGCACTTCTGTATAATGTGTACACTGTGTATACACTGTGTATACGCTGTGCATACACTGTGTAGTGTATATACTGTGTGGTGTATACAGTATACTGTATACTGTATAGTGTATACAGTTGTTTTTTATTGAGCAGAATGCAGCACACATGACTATTGACTCATTTTTATTTTTTTAAAGATTAGTTCAGCATAAATTATATAATGTGAAACCTGTTTACGAGATAGTACCTACATTTCAGATTAATACGTATGACTAAAGATGTACTATTCCCCTTGATTAAAAGCTGGCAGAATCCCATTCTCTATCTCATTGCTACAGATGGGTTCAAACAATTCCACCACCCATCATACATAGAAGGTATTGTTTGTTTAGTTGTTAAATCTGTTCTCAGTAGTGCAAATCTATGAGTACTTACAAGCTTCTGAATCCTGTCCAATTTCCATACACAGATACCTTGATCTGATCAGAACACACTGCGCAGGTATTGACTACCTGAACAAGCACTCTACAGTAAAGCAGTTAGAACTGCCGGGCCCGCACCACCTTCACATGTCTAATACGGAGGACGTCGGTGCTGCCGTTATCAGCTTCCTGGGTTTATGTAAAGATGGTCAGGACACTCCTCCTCCCTTCGAGTTTAAAGGATTGTAGTTGTTCTCTCTCTCGATTGTAGTTGTTATTATCAGGACAGTCCTCCTCCGTTCGAGTTTAAAGGGTTGTAGTTGTTCTCTATCTCGATTGTAGTTGTTATTATCAGGACAGTCCTCCTCCGTTCGAGTTTAAAGGATTGTAGTTTATTATTTAGTTATCACTCTGTTATCTTGTGATATGACTTTAGGTAAACAATTTGACGTCATATTTTCTGTCTAACTATTATTTTGTGTATTTTGTACACATTTTGAAATGGAACTTTGGCTTTAGCCGCTTTTTTAGCCGTTTTTTGTTTTGAAATATTTATTTTTCACGGTTGTACGATTTTAAATGTGATCTTGTATAAAAAAAATGTAATTTCTAGCTGTACAGTGAGATCCCACTGATCTATAGCTGATGTTTTGGTTTACCAATTTCCTTGATTTTCATTTTCGAAGCTATAATTGAATTACATTTATTTTAATTACATTAATCTGTATCTACCAGATAAGATTATACCTATAATTCTAACAGTAATTAAGCGATTATCAAATAATAACATATTATATGATCTAAAGTTCAATGATCTGATTGATAATATGAGCAAGAGAAAGTCCGAGGTAAGCTCTCCTCCGAAAGTAAAAAGAAAAGCACCTGATGCTGGCAATAAGAACGAGCAACTCTCCGATATGCTCAGCAAGCTCAGTGATTTCGAGAAGAACGTTTCAAATAACGTGTTTAAAGCAAAGGCGTATAAAAAGGCAGCTCACTCGGTATGTCAGTACCTCAGTACGTAGTAAGTACGTAGTAAGTGCTCTGATTAAATATAACCCTTCTTTATATGTTTGCTAGTCTCTTATCCTGGTAGATGATTAAATTAAGTGGACTAGAGTCTATTTCTTCGTGCTAATCGTGAATTTCGTTTAAGTTGGCGGGTTTAGATTACACAATATCGAGTGGAAGTGAAGCGACAAAGCTTCCTGGTATCGGCAAGAAAATCGGTGAGAAGATTGATGAGTTCATTGCGACTGGAAAATTGAAGAAAATTGAAAAAATAGATAAAGACGAGGTAATGTTATTGGTTTTAACTTTTATTTCAAAAGGGGTTACAGCGTGTGTCAAGGTTTTATTTTCTGATATCAAAAAGAAGATGTTCAATCTAAGATTTTAAAAGCTTCATAACTTTTTATGCATTATCAAAACAGGTAACAATCGTTCTCAGCATTGTTTATAGAAAACACAGTTTGATTATATCCTTTTCAGACATCTACCGCAATATCCCTGCTAACTCGAGTAAACGGTATAGGGCCTGTAGCCGCTAGGGCCATGGTAGAAAAGGGTGTTACTTCTTTAGAAGACCTGAAGAAGATAAAAGATACCTTGTCTCATGCTCAGCAGATTGGACTCAAATATTTCCAGTAAGTACTAATTAGTAATTAGTAACGAATTAGTTACTAATGAGTACTAATTAGTAACGAATTAGTTACTAATGAGTACTAAATAGTAATTAGTTACTAATTAATTAGTAATTACTTACTTGGATAGCACGATTGCTACTTTTTGCCCAGAATCCAATTAATCAGTTAGGGGTCGTTCACAATTCACATATTACGTAATCAATCTTTTGGCAATTTTTACTTGATGATGGATGATATGAAACCAAATTGTAAAATTGAGGTGCTGGGAGTGAAAATCCCGAACAAAATTGCTTACTTAAGAGTTTCGTAAAGTCCTTTATTTGGGCTAATTTCACCATCTTGATCTTTCTGCTGGATCTATGCCTAAGGTGTATAGTTATTGTAATCATGTTATCAAGACATTGCGATAGAGTAAATTCTCTCTTATCTTATTTTCTCATTTCTGTCACAATTTTGACCGAATTTCTCGCCTGCAACCAATTAGTCAGTCTACTATACTATTGTACTATTGCTATAGATGGCCGTATTCACACTCAGACCTGAGTTTAGTCATTTTCCGATACGAGATTGGGGACGGGTTCTATAAACAAACAAACAAAGAAACATAGATGGCAAATGATATGATTGAAGTGCTGTAAATTTGATTCCGGTCGGAGGAAGCTCACAGCAGAAAGTTTAACAAAAACGAAAAGTTGTCCCATTTTCAGATATGACAATTTCTGAATGTTTCACACATTTGACACATTGGATGAAATTTTTGCCCAGTAACCAATTAGTGATGGTATGAAACCAAATTTGGGTACTGGAGTTCAAAATCTCGAAAAAAATTGGAAAATCATACTATCCCATACTCTGTCCCATTTTTAGTTTTTGAAGCTCAAATTTCCAGGGCCGAAATTTTACAGATTTGACCGAATTTCTTACCCGCAACCAATTAGTCAGTCCACTATAGATGGCAAATGTTTGTGTGTGTGTGTGTGCGGGAAATTTCCGAGCGGCTATATTAAAAAACGGTAAGAGTTACGGGACTGGTTTTTTCGGTATAGTGCCGATAAAACTCTGACGAAGCGAATAAGCAAATTTTGATCGGCCGGTGGTAAATTGATGGTTTTGTACCACAAATTTTCATAAAATGGCTCACTTTTTCTCCCTCTTCGCTCACTCTTCCATTACTGCATATTGTGTAACATTGGTACATTAATCATAATTAGGTTAGCCCCGCAAGTAATACTATAAGCTTATTAGGAGTGAAGAGCACTGATTGCGGTCTGTTTGAACTGTAGAGAGAGTTCATACTTTCAAACGACAATGTAATGCATGTTTTCAAATATAATAGGCGGGTGTGGTGCGGAGTTAATAAGGGTTAATTTCTAAAACAATTTAAATAAAAATGGAAAGCGGTTCAAGACGGGAGTGATAAGGTGTAATACCTACCTACCTATGTCACCTATGTTGAGATTCGTTAAGCTTTAACAGGGCCATCACATTGTGTGACCACCCCACAGAGAGGAGATCTCTCTGTCATTCCTCCAGCAAGCAGCGAGTTTGAGTTCTGAGGAGTGTAGCCCCTGATGGGCGGTGTATCCGGAAGAGATAGATAATAGTCGTGGTACAGAGTGTACGGACCTTATGATCATGGAATGTGGTGCCTAATAATTACTTAATTATCCACGAGAAAGAACTGATTATGCGATTATGTGTTACTGACTCAGCGGGTAAATACTCCTTCCTTTTTAACTGCGGCAGTGAAATCCCGGGTTAGTGTTTTACACTAGTAATACATAATTTGTTCAGCAGTGGCGTAACGTTGCCTGCCAAATTATCGTGCAAAAGTGTTAGGCCTTGTGTTCTGGGCCAAGGACACCAGACCGATGGGTTTTAACTTTTAGGAAGAGGCAATTTATGAAGAAGCTTTGATTAATGGCCTTTAATTTCATTCACAGTTTAGTTATAACGACCGAATTCGGTCTCATTTAGGATACTTTGTACTTTTGAGTCATCGTGTCAAGCACGGATTAACTTGAGTTACTTTAGATCACAGGCTGGACTGATTGTTACAGTTCCAGTTTATTGGACGATTGAGAGACGTTAATTTGAGGGATGTTGGGATAAACCTACCAACATAATAATAAATATACTAAGAATTGGTTACTACAAAACAAATGTGAAAATATCAATATTAGGCATTTAATTAACTTAAAGATGGAGCTGCCTAGCTGGGAAGCCAAAGATTAGGAGCTACTCCGTACCCAAAGTTGCAGCAATGAGAACTAAGCAATAATTGTCGTTCTCCGCGAGGTGCCACCTCTTATGAATGTCGTTAGGAATCCTTGATTACCGGAACGGCTCTAGGGTCTAGGTAAATTGGTCGGGTACTCGCTCTGTGGAATCGATTAACACGTTTCCACAGGGGTCTCTCGTGGTGAGGGCTCCTTCAGTATTTCGTTAGACCCACCGTCTCGTAACAGGGTTGGTACTGGAACTTGAAGAATTTACTGATTTCCGACTGGAACTGGAAGAATGTACTGGTTTTCGACGCTAACTGGGGGTACGTATCGGCTATCAGTGACTCGGAGAGGCTAGGGGGTTGAAGTCTAGTGGACTCAAGCTTCTCGAGTTTCTGGTAGATGGTGTTAGGAGTTCATTGGTGGGAAGTTGCACCACTTCGATGGTGGGGTGCACAATGTACGACAGTTTTGATAAACGTTCCGTGAAGAAATGACGCATATCACTTTTTCGCACTAAATAAACAACTGGATTCATGGCAGAATTCAGGGGCATTGCAAATAATGTCCCCAACAAAAGCAAATAAGTAACGAATGCATTTGGTTTGGTTTCTGAATCACGAGAATCATCAATAGTAATATTACCATCTTTCAAAGACAGATCTAAATACTGACCAAAGTCTAGAAAAGTGGCCACAATTCCTGCAAGGTAGATGGAATTAAAAACGATGAAGAGTGCTGAGAGGATAACCACTGTCCATGTAGCTTTCCTGTTTCTGTTTATTCCTTCTGCACCTTGGAGATCATTTCTTGCCAGGTTGTATACAGATACAACAGTAGCAGACACCACCACCAGTATCAACAGTGAACTTTTTCCTATCAGGACGAAGAAAACTCCGTTTAAATTTGTACTAAATGTGGGATTAAACTGCGTCATGATAAACACCACCACTCCTACTATCATTAATAACTTGTATACAGATACAACAGTGGCAGACACCACCACCAGTATCACCAGTGAATCCATCCCTATCCGGGTGAAGAAAGCTCCGTTAAAATTTGTACCAAATTGAAATGGTGCGTTACAAAACAGCATCATGATAAACACCACCACTCCTACTATCATTAATAACTTACTCTTTATATGATAGAACGGAAAAGCGATGCTTATTGCTCTTGTTACGCTAAGTAGACAAGTCACAAACGCTGTCCCCTCAATCAAAAGTACGTATAAGAAAGATAACACAAAAAGTAAAAGAACTACAAAGCTTTCCTGACTTAGTCCATCCGCATTGTCGAATTTCATCATTGACGACATAATGCAACAGATTGCTGTCGCAGTAATACAGAGTAGTAGATCTATGCTATTCAGCAGCATCAGTAGTTTATCGCCGATACCTTTTTCTTCCTTTTTTATGAAGAAGCTCAAGGAGGCTGAATTAGCCAGTGTTCCAAAAATACTAAGGACTGCACTGGCAACAGGAAATCCAAACTCTATAGAATTCCAAATGAGTTCCCTAAGGCTAGACTTGACTTCGGCCATGATTTCTTTGGGATTTTGATTGTTATGAATTTGTGTCTAACATTTGAGAAGGATAGCTACAACATTAAAATCTGGAAAGCTCAAATGCCTGTAATATAATCTTAATACACAGCTACTTACTAAACTGTCATGTGATCCTACCCAGGTTCTTGGTTGTCCGGCTGTTAGGATTTTTAGAATATGGATCACATCACAAATCACAAATGATACGTCACTGATTGGGCCATGTGATGTGATACCTGTGGGAGCCCGGAATGAGAGGTTCTTAGTGGTCGGTCACCGAAAATTTGCAGCATTCCACACAATGATTGGTTTAACGAGGTGTCGTACGTCACCTCAAAATCAGATAACAGAGAGCTGGCCAGACCTGAACCTTGTTGATTGGTTCTGAGGTCACGTGATTATGAGCCTGAGGTCATGTTACTATGACGTCACCAGAGCTTGTTCGACGTTTCCCGGTTTGCCGCTCATTCGGACCAAGTGAGCGCTCGCATGCTTGTGAATGTGAGTGTAAGTACTGTACTGTAGTGTATCTTTAATTACCCCCTATTCAAACCCAAATTTATTTTCTGTCAGAAAGCTAGAAATTTGTCAAAATATCGACCTTGCTATAAACTCATTGACCTAAAATTGCACGAGAAATCGATTAAACTTGGTTTCAGAACCCAATTATAAAGATCAAAACAATCGTCGACTAAACTGATCGGTTAGGTAGATCGGTTAAGGAACATTAAACAGGTAACCAATAAGCCGAAACTACTATCGAGGTTGAATTGTATTCTTAGAACAGACTGATTTGTGTTCCACCACCAAGTGACCAATAACTGTCTAGGTGTTAAACGTCGAAACAGACCAATTAGCAATTACGATACAAGAGCTTTGCAAATTATGGGACCATCAGTCAGTTTTGTTTCAAGTGTTTCTTTCACTTTGATATAGGACACATTGACATTAGTTGATAATAAGATAATATGAGTAAATGACAATCACTATTATAGCTAGATAACTCGGGACTTATTAATTGTGAGCATTACTTTAACTGGTATCAAAAATCTGAATACGAAAGAGCGGCGAATTTATTTCACAGATTAACTAAAGAATTAAAGATAACCTTTTCTCCTAGACGCAATTAAGTAAGTAATATTGAAAACAGTGCTGCCTATTAATACTACATATTATTATGGCGAAAGAGAATGTTAGTCTTTCTCTTTACTTATAGGCTATAGCATAGGTATC